ATAAACTGAAATATCGATAAATAAAAAAAATAGACTAGGCTACCCTTCGAATCTCAAGAAACGTATTGTTTTAATTTTTATAAAAAATTGGAAATTAGTGTATTTAATAGCTCGGTGGCCTCAGTGTTAAAGAGGAATATAAAAAGTGTTTCAGTGCAAGTTGGAAGTGTGTGCCTGGTTATTAATATAAGAATTAATGTATTACGACAATGTTGACTCTCGTTACAGGTTTGACCTCGAGCGATCTCTAAATATCAAATTGAGGCCAAATTTTAAGCTGGCAAAGTCGACAACGTCACGAGACCTACTTCGTGTTTCCTCTTGGTCCGATTGTTTAAAAGTTCGACCGAAATTGGAAAAACACGACTAATTAGCGGTTACCCAGTAATGAACGAAGCACCGCGTTACAGTAGGTTATTGATGACGATTTAACGCGATCCAATTAGGTCGTTGTGTGACCAGCTTTTTCTTCTTCTTCTTCTTCCTTCTCGTAATAGTATTTCGATTTTTTTCTTTTCTAATGCCGTACGCCGAGTTACGTTCCAGCTTCTTACGCTAATTAATACTAAGACTATCGGACGGATCGAACTGGCCCACTTCAGAATTTTTATGTTGCAAGTACTTAAGCAATAAGTGTCAACCGCGACGTAAAAAATATATAATTCTGGCTAAAACATGTAAGCTTTAAATTTCTACAGGGTCATGTCAAGATTAAAAAGATGGTATCCATCAAATTTAGTTTTTTTATTATCTATCGTGCCATCGTAAAACAATATACTGCTCCATTTAAAAAATTACCAATGAATTTGAAATCTTATTAAAAAAAATGACTTCAGAAAATTTATTGCTTACTATTACATTTGCCCCTTAAAATAGTGTAACTTCGTCTTGAAGAGTTTTTTTATAGCACCGTAAATACGGAAGATATTTAGGTGTTCCCATTTATATGGCCAACGCTGTATACAAAAGTCATGAAAAACTTGAGTGTAACTTAATATTTCATTTAAAAAATCAGTAACCTTTACAAGTAAGATATAACCGAAATTTCCGGTGGCAAGGAATGTGTTAAATTACGTAATGTATTTGTACAGATACGACAGATTAAGAGATCCTTCGAATCTCAAGAAACGTATTGTTCTGATTTTTATGAAAAATTGGTAATAAGACATTTTAATTGTTCGGTAGTTTTAGCGTTAAAGTGCTTGTTAACGAGCTTTATTTGTTGATCAGGCCGCGTAGCGTAAAGGCTTCACATTTTGATGGCTTCCGGCCTATCGATTACAGGACAACATTGGGCGCCTCGGTCCCGAATGAGCCGCTCGAAACTTTGTTTGGAGCAGTTTGATTTAGTGGAACGTCGAATTATATCAGGAAACCAATCGAACTAGTATCGAATCCTATCCAGTAGACTTCTAGTTGACTAAGGATGCTCACTTCGTCTCACCTCGAACCGTTCAGTGACGAAAAGGTAGTCGAAGGGGATCGATACATTGGATTCCAGTCACGATAGAGTTGTCGGTTTATCTCGCCTGTACGATGGTTACGTTTTTCTGTACCTTTATATTGTTTCGGAGTTCCTCTTTTATTAGATTTTCGGAGTTATTGCTCTATTCTTTTCCTTTTATCGAGAATTATATACTTTTTTGCGGTACACGTGAAATGAATCGAAAGAATGGTTTGATTAATATCGTTTTATTTAGGTACAATTGATTATACGCCTTTACACGGATACACGTATTCCTAGAAGTAAAATTTATTACAATCTACATTGAATGTATGCATTGTTATTGTATTCCTTTATGATTGTTTTTCAGACGTTTTTAGTTAGTTTTCTAATAAAGTATTATTATGTATATAGCTTGAATTGATATCTGCAACATATATATTTACCTACACGTTAGAAATATATAAAATTTTCTAAAAATACTTTTTATTGGTTATTCAAGTTTTTATTGCACCTGATTACCTAGATTCTAATTAGTTTTCTTTACTCTCTTCTTCAGCTTTCAAACAGCAATTTAAACATCTTTTTATAATATTTTTATTGTAAAGCATTTGTTATTTAGATGAATAAAATAATACTATTATATGCGTGAACACGTAAACAATTTAAGAAATATATATTAGTTACTTTGTATAATGATTTTTCATGATGAAAATTGAACCTTACATTTGAATATAGATATATAATTTATATCAGTATTAAATCTACTTAATTTCGGACAAATACTTTTCCCTTATACAGGGTATCCCGTAACTAAAGGTACAAGCTATCAAGGGCTGATTTGAAATGAAAAACTGAATCGAAAATATAAAGTGACATTTTTTAATATGAGTTTTTGTTTTCAAGAAAAATCGATTTGAATGTTTGTCAAGTACGTGTGTACTTGATTAAGTTTCATTATTGCGATTTCTATTCATAAACACTTCCGATATCTGAGTACGAGCTTTTAGGATATAGCGTTAGAAAAAAAGGCTTGCTTCTTTGGAATGTGATTAATTCAAAAACTGCTGAAAGTGATTTCCATGTTGTCGTACGTAACTCAGGTCCTTTCATTCAATTTCTGTGAACGTTTAATATATTATTACCTAATTTTAATTGTTCAAATGCTATAGTAATCTTTGGTTTTAACTGTTTACCGTTTATTCTCTTGTATTCTTTTATTCTGTTATATTTAAACAACCCCTTTTTTTACTTCTTTACTCATTTTATTTACTTATCACATATAGAATTTTATTTTATTTTGAATGTTGTATTTTGTAGTTTGTATTCTTTTATGCTTTTCTTTGTTAGCCATGTTTAAATATGTACTTATTCATTGTTATATGCATGTACCTATTTAAGTTTGTAATTATTTTATGTTACTTATTACGACAGCAACCACCCTCGTCGCAAAGGCGTTTTGTGGCGAAACATTGTAAGGTCCGAGGAACATGTATGGAAAAATAAACGTTTTTATCTAATTTCATTCACTCAAATGCTGTAATAATCTTTTGTTTCAACTGTTCAGTGCTTGTTATATCGTCTCTACACACAGTAAATTTAACTCTCCGTCGGAAACATGGACTACTAAAAGCTTGTTAAAAATCTCATTTCTTCAAAACTTCACCAAGATTTTTAATTTTTTATAGAAAAATGTGGCTAAAGTGTCATATATTAAATTAGAGCTTATAATAAGTACCTCAGAATATTTTCAGATTTTCAAGAACTCGCAATAGTAAAGAATCAAGCATGCCCGTAACAGATATATATTGCTAGCTACATTGCTGAAAAACCATATTGCCCGGTTTAATGTAACTCCATAAATAAAAATCAAACGGTAATAGATTCAGAGATCTCGACAGCCAATGTATTCTATCACCGCGGGCAATCCAGCAGTAACAATTTCCATTCAACAATTTCTTTACTTTGCGACCGTAACGCGATGATGCTCGTCTTGTTGAAAAGTTAAATTTCTTCGTATTCTCATGGGAACGTCTTCCAACAAATCAGCCAACATGTTACACAAGAAATGTAAATACATTTCCGAAGGTGCATTGCTCGAAAAGAAATCTGAACCGATTATTTGATCACCAATTATGGCATCTCAGACGTTCACATTCCATGTCAATACTGATACTACCGAGCAATTTAAGTGACTTATTTCCAATTTTTTATAAAAATTAGAACAATACGTTTTCTGAGATTCGAAGGGTATTCCAGTTGTGCAAATACACGAATTTAATTGGAAATCTTTCGCAGAAATGCCTTCATAATTTAAATACTTGCAAAATCAACATTCTGATTCGGGTTAGTTTGATCCGTCCGGCAGTTTTAATGTTAAAATTGGTAAAATGATATACGGATTTCCGCATAACCATCTATGCAAATTGTGAATATTAAACATTCTGTTTCCAATGAATTTTTCTTCGTCCATAAGATACGATTTTCAAAAAAAATTCTATTAGAATAACTAATAATAAAATATAACTCGTGAATTGTAATAATTCCCTGTAAGTGCCTATATTCTGTGAATATGATAGGTGTATAGATCGACTAATTTTATGTCTAGAGGAGAGACTCTTTATATTAATGCTCGGGTCATCATTTGTATCTTCCAGAACTTTTTCTTCTAACTTTTTCATATTAATTCTCCGAGCACGACCTCTGTGCAGTTGAAGTGGTTCCGAAGAACCACATTTCGCAGGAGATCGTTCTGCTCTTTGAATAGTCCTCCTATCTGGATGTCGGCGATTAGGATACCGATCTTTGTGATAATTAGCCGTGCCCGATGCATTACCGCTTCAAGCATTCAATGCAAGAGTCAAGCCAGTGTGCTACTATAGGATTTCAATGAATGGAAACAATTTATTGAAACAAAACTAAGAACTACAATAATACTAATTTTTTAACACACTATGTTCCCTCACATGTCGCTAACAAAATCACCATACAGAATGACACCAAAAAATGTGCCGTTTTGCTAGACATCAAGTCATCTCCCAACTGTACTATGCACCTCTCAGGTTAACTCCACTGACCAACAAATTAAAGGTGCACAGGGGCAAGGGGAGTTTTCCACTCACGATGCTCGGGTCGCCTCAATCTTCGACGTATGGTCATCATTGGCGAGCGGCAATAACAAAGGACGGAAGAAAGACCGAATGCGATGAAGCGAGACGTAACGATAGAAAACAAAACTCTTTATAGTTCCATCTCACTCCGTCCCATTCGATCTCGCTTCTGTTCTTTGTTATTGCCACGCCCCAATAATGACCATGCGTCAAAAACCGAGGCAGCCCGAGCATTATGAGTGGAAGACTCCCCTTGTGTCTGTGCACTTTTAAACCTGAGTCACTCTGGCTAACGTGAGGGCAAGACTATATCAAATATTTTTATTTGACATCAATTTTCTTATTGTAATTGTTCTCGAGCAAGTGGGAAACTTCGATCATCGGTGACCACCGTGGAAATCAACGTGTTAATATACATTCTATAGAAATGATAAAATTTGACTTACGGTATTACTCCCTCGATGTCGAAGAAGTGGAAATGAAGGAGGACTCGTTCATTCGGTTGGCCATTAAAGAAATAGTGACATTCGGTGTCACGTGGGTAAAAGCCAGGATAGTTCGGTGACGTGAACGTACCGTTCCGTGTCTCGTTGCTGTTATAAGCAAAGGCACAGGGATATTTCGCCTCCTGCCGGCCTGTAGTTATGCCGAAGTCTGAAACAGTGAAACAATGTTGCGTTAATGTCCTCTAAATCTTCTTGCCGGTGAGAATAAACTTCGGCTCAGTAGAAATAGTTCCTTTCTCTCTCTCCCTTTCTCTAACTCTCTGTTCACGGCATGGCCAGTGCGCCGCGTTTCACCGAATAAATATGACGTTCCGCGAGCTCGTTAATTAAATAGCGCCTATTCCGTGTATTTAATTGCGGAAAGAAGGAAGTCCGTAACTTCGAATCGACCGTGCAGTTACCTTTACCTTCTACCTTCACTTGTTTAATGAAAAGTCGCTCGAAGAGTCGAGCCTTAGACGTGAAACAATAGAAGCAGCTGAAATTTCAACTCCCGGGAACCGCTGGAGGTGATTAATTTTATATTACGTAGAATTATTCTGATATGGTTCAATGAAATATTAAACCTGAATCAGGAATTAATGAAAATTTCATTTCTTTAGTGTGAATATTTCATTTCGATGTTGTTACATTCTTTGGCATTGTTCAGTATAATAAATCTTCAATAAAAATTTATAATTTTGGGTTGTATGCTGCTATATGTACAGGAGTTTTAAAAAGAGGATCCGATACTTTGAGGATTTATAATATTTACCGAAGAAAGTAAAAAATATCAAATTAATATAGCCTCTAAAATCAATCCACTCGATGAAAAATCAGTATATACTGAGTAACATAAATACATACTAAATATATAATCGAAGGAATTCAAAATATTAGTTCAAACATCTAACGTCACAAATTAAAAAATTATATATCTTGATTTTGTAATTAATTCTGCCATATTAAATTACTATTTTATAGTAATGGTGATTCATTAAAACAATATTCTGAAGGTATTAATTGATCTCATTCTAATGATGTAAAGATAAATTTAATTAAAATTATTCGTTACTTAATTAATCTTTCAAGAAGAATACAAATTTTATAAATACATAAAATAAAACAACAAAAATTATATGTCTTTATATTTGACTAATACACATATGTCCATGTTCTTTTATTATACATTAAAATTCTCTAGCAAAAGTTGTTTACAAAAACTGGAAGTTTTTCTTTTAACTAATGTATTGGTCCCAAACTTTTGACCGACAGTATATATTGGTTTCTTGTCCAATGTGTTTAATATGAAATACGTTATTCCAAAAGTTTGCCAAAAATAGAGATTAACAACTTTTTTTCAGTGAAATTTGCACTAACATGCCAAATTTAATAAATGTTTATATGGCATTAGTTAACTGTGTAACAATTTAAGTGTCTTGGAATTATGATAAAAAATACGAAAAGAGTTAAAACCAACGAGTTGGAAAAATAGTATGTATGCAACACACAAGAAATTTGTAAACAAAACTCATTTCTATCACGAATTCTTTGTAAGCTTATATATCGCATTGACGCATTTTTTTCATTATTATCATTTTTATAACTGCGACCATACTCAATAACATGGAATGTGTTCCATCTTAAATTCACACGTATTTCGTTAGAAAAGTAGTAACTAAGTAAAAAGAAAATTTTACATCAAATTGCTTTTGGATACTTAAAAATAAACATGTTTAATTATAAATTATGAAAAAGTAATATTCTTTGACCCTCCTTTAGTATCAAAATTTAACTTAGCTTGTCTCTCAAAAACTTTTACACACTACCAAACACAATAGTGTTTCGTATTCGACATTTTATTAATGCCTATCTAATATTATTGTTTTTCACTGCTAATGAATTACTTCCTAGAGCTAGGCTAACTCTATTTAAAATGAAAATAAGAATTAATTATTTTAAGTGATTTAATTCGGATATTTGCTCTGAATATCGTGATTTGAAATGACAGATATCGTTAATTTATTTGAACTAACAGCAATTTTAATTAATGTAGAGACAGAGGTCTTCGGTGTGTATGAATGGAGGAATGAGCGTGTATGTGTATCGTGTTTGAAATGTTGGAAGATTCTAGAAACATATGACGTGTTATACAAAATCAATATTATAGATAATAAATAATTCTAGTATGTTCCAAATGCAGCTGAAGTATATAATGCAATGTGCGGAAATAAAAAAATTTTGCATATTTATTTTTAAACAACGTGAACACGTTGATACAGAGGTATTTATATTTGTTTGCAATATGCAACAATGCAAAAGGTTCATTCGTTATACAATCCGAAAATTGATTAAAAGGTAAATAAAAAACCAAACAAAAAGAATCATTGTAGAAAAATACGTGTGGCAATTATTTTGCAAAATATGTAAAAACGTAATAATAGATACATTCGAAGGTAATTACATCTGTTTCGTAATTAAGGTTTTCCTCGTAACGATCAGGTGGATGAAATTCACGTCAAGCTAATAGGTCACCAATTATTACCTTACACGGACTCTTATTAGCTGCATTTACACATTATTCGATTAGTTCGTGATGTTTGTGATTGCCGGCACTGCATTGTTATCCATCTGGTATGTTTAATAAATATTGACGTTCGCTAATGAACAGTCAGACATTCGAAATATAAAGCATCGCCAGTATAATCATTATACTGTAACACAATAAGCATTAATAAATAATGGGTCATAATTGCTTACGTATTATTAACTAGACGTTCGAAAACCAAAAGCTAGGGAACAACCTCAATTTACCAATGAATGTACATTTAACCGATGATCAAAATTCGATGCACGATCAAACTGACTGATATGCCAATGTTTTAACATATAAATCGCGTGGTTTGGTATTGCACAATAAATATTGATATTAGCCTATGTTGTTAACTTATTTTTACAGAATTTTATATTCAGGTAAAAGCATCAGAAGTTGACCGGTTAAGACAAATTCCCTGCGTGAATAATAGTAAACGTTTGATTCTTTATTAAACAGAAAGATTCAATGAGTGAAAATGCTGTTTGAATTTCTTACATTATGTAACAAAGCGAACTTCTTTGAAATAATTATATTACCCAAATTTGACAGACATTTCTAAAAATTCAATACTTGCGTTAGAAATTGAGCATCTTTGGAAACGAGAAAACTGGTAATTGACTATGTGTTGGGTAGTAGTTAACCACTTATAGTAAAACCAAAAACATTAAAAAGGACAAACACAAATGAAAAGAAGTTAATTTCTCATCGTGAATTGTATACCGTTTCTTAACGACAGCGTTAAGAAAATTACAGTGCGAAGGCATAGAACCAACGCCAATGAAATAAATCGTCAGTTTTTATGATAAACAATTTAACGCAAGTAAAGCTGTTTCGGAGTTGGGTCGGTAAATGCTGCAGCATATCTATTGCGCCTATATCGAAAGATTATTGCTTTTGAAAACCTTACTTTTTACGTTTTCCTGAAAAATGGTCAACTACTAATACCAGCTCAATTACTGGTGCCTTTACCTTAAAAGAGAATTTTTAGGACGTGACAATGTTAGATTTATTGATAGAATATTCTTTTGGGTAAAATGTGCCTGTGAAAGTTGTATAGTAAGTATCACTTACAATAAACGCATTTAGATTGTCGGTTAAATGAGTGGAATTAATCCGTGGTTTGTGGAAAGTTTTACGAGGATTTTCCTCGTAAAACAAATAAACTCAATCAATTGTAGATAATTGTATTGACGAAACAAGAGTGGAAAGTTAAATCAGGAAGTAATTAGAGTTGAAAGCGTTAATTATGATCAAAAGAAGATATACAGTGCGCTGAGATTTTTGTATTAAAATTGTTAAGGGATTTTCAACTTTTATTTGGAAGTGGGTTAGGCATTATTAAAATGAAATTTTATTCGATACAAATAAATTTATATTATATTTAGTAATGTGGCATATATTTTCAATGTTCTCGAAAAATATATTACCGCAAAACATTTGGTTCTTCGTCTATTTTATTTTACCTGAAAAGTAAATCCTTACCTGAAATTTCTATTCCAAAATTATAATATGTCGACCATGTTTGTCGTTAAGAATGATCAGTTTTCGTACTTCACGTGATTATTACCAAGTAGAAATCATTAAAAACAGTTACAGAAAATTCAGAGTGCAATTGGTTGTGATATATAAAAAAATTTCAAAACAGATTATACACAACGAAACCTGTTACTTTATATGATACTGATGTTTGAAATAATCAAATTTGGTAAATATATAATTTAAAAATAATTTGTTGCTATAAATAAGATTTCGAAATTTATTTGTATACATCCTTATTTTCAAATGAACTTATTTGTTATTTTCATTGAAGCAGTCATTTGCATCGTTATTTCAATTTCAAAGAAATAATACTCAACCATGTCTGAAAATTATTTTGTAATCCAATAAACTGTGTATGATAAACAGTTTTATAAAGGAAGTGTGTATAAAGTTCTATGTTCTTTTTAGATACATCGTTCTTTCACGTCGTTTTACATACAAAAAGGTTCAAAATATAAACATTAAAAACTCGATATATCTCGAAATTTTACTTCGAAGATTCACTGCAAGCTCGTTTCCAGCGAATAAAATTTTAAGATAATGATAATAGAATAAAATATCCGTATAACACTGAATCTTCAAAGCATAATAAAATATTTCGAGTTATAAGCTCTATAGTTATTGTTGCAGTTTGCCTTAATTTCTAAATACATCCTATATGTGTCATGTTTATATATCTATTTTAGTTCCTACTTAATCCATATGATTATAATCGCGTATTGTATACGCTACTTAGCTATCTATCAGTGAATACATTAGGCAACTAAATATACGAAATTAATATTAAATTTACAGTTCAGTGGAAATAAACTGTTATTTTATACACCATACGGATATCTTATAAGTTAATAAAATTAAACGCTTTAACGTCAAATGTAGACATCGTGATTCGCTCATTGTAACAACGCAGCGTTTGGTTTTAGTAGAAATTGTTGAATCTTATCTCGCAACTGAATATTAAAGCTTCAAAGCGAAATGGGTTAATTATAAGATCAGGGGTCGTCAGGGCTTGTTTGAAATGGTTCAGTATGGTC